ATACATATATATGATATATATAAATATATGCAAAATTGATGTGGGTACTCAAATGAAAGCTCTTGATGAGTATAACATCAGGATGAGCTTATATCTTTAAAAATGTCAATAATTAAGAACTGACATTGCTATCTTGTCAACAAATGATATTTTTAAAGATCTAAGCTCATCCCGACATTACATTTGTCGAGACCTTTTATTTGAGTACCCACAACAATTTTTCATATATTTTGTATATATATATATATATGTGTGAAAAATATATCAAAATGCATATGGGTACTCAAATGAAAGGTCTCGATGAGTGTAATGTCAGGATGAGCTTATATCTTTAAAAATGTCAATAATTAAAAAAGTACAGTTCAATTTAACAAAAGTCATTGTTTAATTAAGCAAAATTTTATTTATTTATAGTTCACAATTCTCGGCAGTCACATAGTGACTGCAGGTTGCTAGTTAATTATGAAAAACACTTCTTACTTCAACAACCGCATGTGTTCTTTAATAATACTCTTGAGTTTAATCTTATATATTTCTGGTTCTTCTTTCAGTGTGTTGATCCTCTCGGCCAAAACAGCCAATCTGCCGCTCAAATGAAACACAAGGATTATCAAAAAACAATCTGATGTCATATGACCAAACCCGCTGATGACAACATGTGGTCCATGGGAAAGGTATGTCAAAACATAACTAAGGAAGCCATTCATTTCATAGAAAACATAAAAGTGATACGGTAACAAAAACTGCACTGTTTCGTTGTCACTCTCAACTAAAAAAAATTATTCCAGGTTAATTAATGTTGATTAATGTTTAAAAGCTCCTAATGATCTTACTTGGAGAAGCTGGAGTTGTCAACGGTTGCAAATACCAGGTAATTTCAGTCATTGCAATAAAAGTAAGAACTACTTTTGCAAATAGTTTGCCTTTGTTGATGTGGCTCATGAATATTTTTATTTCGATGGAATTTCGGAAAGCACTCACCTTGTAATCATTTAGCGATTCGGTGATTACGTACCGCAACTCATCAATATGCACCCGCAACATCAAAGTACGCACGTATATATGGACAAACGCCAAGTTTTCGGTGAGATTGTCGATAACTTTTTCGAAATTTCCGAGACACGTGTAAAGATCTACAAATTCTAGGATCATCACTATGGTGAAGTATGAGAAAGTAACGGCAAATAAGTAATCATTGGGGGCTAGAGGCCACACACCGATGCCTTTTGAAATCCATCGACCCCAATCGAACATTTTTACACCCTCATTTAGGTCTTTTTGTCCCTACGGAAGTTATTTGTTGTTTAATTACACTGAGAGAAAAATTTTTTTTGATAAAATTGGATATGATTGTGATAAAAAATTAATTTATTTTTAATTTTAAACAATTTTATTTCTTAGCTGAAGAAATAAAAATTTTTTTCACAATAAATTTTTGTTGAAAAAAAATTTTTTTAATTTGGTATAAAATAATTTTGAATGAAAATTCACAATTTTTTTATTTAAAATTGATTTTTTTTTTTTTTTTTTTTTTTTCAATTAAAAAAACTTTTTTTTAACAAGAAAATTATTGTAAGAAAACTTTTATTTCTTCAGTTAATTAAAATTGTTTAAAATTTTATACAAATTAATTTCTTGTCTCTATTTAAAAAAAAATTTTTTTTCTCTCACTACAGTGATATAAGTGGCTTACTTGTACCCAGTCTTCCATGTGTTGTTGGTTTCACTGTTACCAAGAGAATGACGGCAGAAAACAAGTGACCATCTTCGAAGTAAACATTGTAATAGGGGTTTCTGCGGGTTTACACAAATAAGTGGGCAATTTATAACTTTGAAGTTGATAAACATAAACTTCATTCTATACATGGTTATTATTTTTATTACTGGACTTATAATTCATGATGCATCAGTTCGTGAGGAGCTCCAGTTATTGTTCAACCATCAACAGGATTTCTTCAATTGATTTTTGGTGCTGAAAATTCTGCGATACGAATATAAACAAAGACGCTTAAATAAATTGTGAGTTTAATATTCGAAAGAAGAATATAGAGTTTTGAGTAATTGTTTATTTTGTTTTAAAAGTATCAAGAAAATAATTACATAACACTTTGTTTGATAGTAACTAAAAATAATTATTCTTTTTACAACATATATACCATAAAAGGTTAAGCCAAGAAGTAAACTATTCTTCACTCAGTCATCAAAAAATGTCTCAAAACTGATAAGTATCCCATACTAGTTTTTGTAAGCTGGAAAATGTACGAAAAAAAATTGAGTAATATATAATGACGTTTTACGAAAGAAGAAATAGTATGTGTTAATAAAATCTTACAACAGTTAATGTATCATTGCCAAAATATGAAAATTTTCCTATTTTTAAGGCAAGAGGTGTTTGTGATCTGGCAATGCAAAATATTATATTTTTGACAGTTTTTGGAGGCTTGTCATACCAATAACAGCTCCAAAAAGCTTCACTTATTTGATTGCTCTAAAATAATTATTTTTTATAATTTTGATTTGATTATATGTGAAGACTATGATTGCTTACCTCAGCGCTTAAACGCTCACTGACAACACAAAAAACACTTATTATAAGGTACGTTGTACATAAATAGACCACCATTTGCACAACTTCTGAATCGGGACCTGTTAAAAAATTCTGACAACAATAAAACTTTTCCTATTAAGGTAAAAGCCCCAATTATTGACACTATTAGAGACAAAGTTTTGAATTCATTTTTTTAAACAATCAAATATCAATATCGTTGAATTTTGTTTGTGGTAATGTCTCAAGTAATGTTTTTACTAATCAATTTTTTTTTTTTAAATTATAATCAGTGATATTTACTAATTAATTTTGAATAATTAAATAGATCATCCGGATACACCAATTATTGGCAGGTTAAAAAACTGATTGATCTAATTATTGACATACCTTCACCCCAATTATTGACACCTATACTGCGCATGCGTCAAATCATCTGCTTATTCTTATTTATCGAAACTTATTATTAAGTAATAAATTTTATTAAAGTTTATTAATAATAATTTCATAAATGATTAATTACTTTTAAAGATATAAAAATTAATTTAAAAATATCAGAAGAGTTCAAACTCTTACAGTAAATTTTTTAGTTTAAAGTAAAAAAAAGACGTCATAATATGAGATTCAACTTAAAAATTATCAACCACCTATAGTTATTGAAACCCATTATTAAAATATTATGAAGCATAAAATTAATTTCGATTATTCAATTTTATAAATTTTTCATATATTGTTAATTAAAAAAAAAAAAGATCATATTATTAGATGAAGAAATTAATTAAAAAAAAAATGCTTATCTAATCAAAGTTGTTAAGAAAATAAACGTTTGTAAGCTGGTTTGATGAACTGATGCTAACTTTATTTTTTTTTAGTAATTAATATTTAATATTTTGAACTGACAGTAATTTTTTTTCAATTTTTTATAATTAATTAGAATTTAATAAAAATTTATATGATAGTTATTATTATTACAGATGATTAAATATATTTAAAAATAATTTAGGGTGTCAATATTTGGACTTCTGTCAATAATTGGGGCTTTTACCTTATTCACTTACTTAAATTATCCCATACGCGAAAACAATATACGAGACAGTAAATTTGTAGCATCGATCGTTATTACAACGACCCTATAAATTACTTACAAGCAATATTTTATATCCAATTATACAAACGAGTATAGAAGCACTCAACATGTAAACCATCAGCGATGAGCTGTACGCATCAATCACCGTTCCACCGAATCTGAAGAAATCAATATTGGAAAAATAGTTTAAAAAAAAAGAAAAATAATTCGGTAAATATCTGAAATATTCACTTTAATATTTTAGAATGTTCTGTAATTATATTTTCGAGTTCAATTTTCCAGACTCCAGCGATGCTGTTCAGCTCGTTGATCCTTTCTGCTAAAATTACTAATTTTGCTCTTAAGTAGAAGATGAGGGTGATGAGAGTACACTCTACCGTTGCATGGCAACATCCGTGGATGTAAGTGATCGGTACATATGCCATGTAAGTCCACATGTAAGTATTTGAGTCGTTAATTTTGAAGACAACATAAGTTGGATACGGCAAAATGTATTCAATTGTTTCATTTGTATTTTCTGTGATAATTAATTAATTAATTTTTTTTTTTTACAGAAGAAATTTACGATTAGCCTTACCGAGATCTTGTTCAGCAGACAGCGGTTTTAAAAAGTATGGATAAATAGACATTATCATAAAAATAATTGTAAATTTTACAAAGAATCTTGCTGAGTTGATGTAACTCATAAAAACTTTAACTTCCGACGACTGTTTGAAAGTTTTTACATTAAAATCTTGGATCATTTCTTCAATAACTCCGCCGAGTTTATTAATATGCCGCTTCAAGAGCAGTCCTCGGATGAAAATGTGAGTGAAAGTTAAATTTACAAAAAGGTTGTTGAGCACTTGGTCTATGTCAGTAATCGAAAAAAACAGATCCATGTACTCAAGGATCATAAACGTTGAGAAGTAAACAAAAGTTATGACAAACACAAAATTATTAGGCGCCAGGGGCCATAATCCAATGAGTTTTGATGTTTTCATAGTCCAGGTAAACACTTTGAGCCCCTCTTTCAAATCTTTCTGATCCTAAGAAATAATTTCTGTTATTAAGCTCAAACTTGTTCTAAAAGAAACTTACTTTGTCTAATAATTCCATGGTTTTGTTTGCTCGAGCGATAAGCAGTGAGTGCTAAAAAAACTTCCGTCGATCTTCGAGGAAACATATTGTATTTGGAATACTATAGCAGTAATTGCCATGTTGTTTGAAAGTTTTATTTTTTATAAACTTTTAATCTATACAAAGTTTACTATGCAGCCATCTTCGGGCAAGCGCGGTAATGTTTGTTTTTTATTTACGGCGATAAGACAAGCGCATTGTAGTTTGATTTTATTTACGGAAATCTTCAGTCTTTATTCTATTCTTCATCTATGGACTTGCTTTAGAATAAGCTTTGTTAGTTTGGTATAATGAGCTTGAGTGTTTTTAAGAACATGAGTGTTATATAACAACAGAATTTTGCATATTTTGTTTTATGTAAATTAAAAAAAAACAAAACACTGCCATTTTTTTTACAAAAATTATGGTATTACTACGGCTTGATTTTATTGAATTGAAAATTTGGTTTTTTTTTTACAGAATTTCAAAAAGAAAATTTTTCAGTGAAGAAATAATAAATTAAGCAGGTGGATTTTTGGGTGAAAAATACATCAAGAGTTAAAAATTCCGAAGAGTTTCATTTGTTACAACAATAGTAAGTACAAAAAAAATTTTTACTATTTGAATTCTTTATTATCAATAATTAAAAATTAACATAACTAGTAAGTTATTCTCATAAGTATGAAATCTTTCGCAAAACAATGGTTTCATAAAAAAAAAAAAAATAACATTTCTTCTTTCCTACAATTTTATTTTTAATTATCACTTTTTGTGATTTTTTTTATGAACAGTAGAAAAAATTTTTTAAACACATTAGTCAATTACTAAAAAGTTACGTAAGACACTTAAGTATCCCATAGCTGTTTTGGTGACAACTGTCAGCATATTGTTGCCAAAGTGTGCAAATTTTCCAATTTTCAGCGTAAGTGGTTGTTGAGATCTTTGGATACAGAACATGACATTAACAACAGTCTTTGGCGGCATTCGGTACCATTCACAATTCCAAAAAGCTTCACTAACTTCATCACACTGTCAAAAATATAAATTTTACCTTTACGGTAAATTTTAACAGTAATTTTTCATACCTCAGACATGAGCTGCTCGCTGATGAAACAAAATACCGCCATTATGAGGTACACCGCAAATACATATATAAAAAATTGGACTAAATCCGCATCTGGTCCGGTCATGCAGTTCTAAGAAATCTTATTAACTATACAAGTCATACTTATTGCAAGAAGTTGAAGAGAATTAACAATTTATAGCTTCAAAAATAGTAACAGAAGAAGAAATACTCACCACCAGTATTTTATAGCCAATAACGCAAATGCAGATGGTTGTACAAATCATATAAACCATCAACGACGTGCTGTAGATATCGATGACATTGTTTCCTAATCTAAAAGAGGAAATCGTATAAACAAATTACACCATAAGAAGACATGACCAATGATCATTAAATACTTGAGCAATCTAATGTGTTCCACAATGATGTCTTGAAAATCATTTTTCCACTCAAGTGTTTCCATTCCACTAAGTCTGTCGATTCTGCCCGCTAAGATAACTAGTCTTCCTCGCAAATAATAAACAAGAGTGATGAGGAAACACTCGACTGATGCGTGGCTGCATCCGTGGATCCATGTGTAAGGCGCAAAGGCAATGTAAGTCAGCATGTAAGATTTTGAATCATTTATTTCAAAAATTATGTGACAGCGATAAGGCAAAAAGAACATTATCGTCTCATTATCACTGGCTGAAAAATTTTAATCACAATTTATATAAATATCAATTTAATACGCTATTTAATGTCAGTAAAAAAGTGGAATCACATTACCGACAGGAGCTGGGGTTGTCAAAGGCTGGAAGTACCAAGTAATTACAGTCATCGCCATGAAAGAAATTATTGACTTGACGAAAAATCGACCCTTTTTTATGTAAGTCATAAATATTTTTATCTCCGATGGATTTTTGAAGCTATTTATATTAAAATCACCGATTGTATTTTTAATTATTTTCTTCAGTCTGTTCATGTGGATTCTCAATATAATACCACGGATGTAAATTTGGGTGTACGATAAGTTTTCTGTGAGGTTGTCGAGTACATCGTTGAGATCATCCAGCGAGTAGTACAAATCCATCCACTCAAAAATCATTATCACTGTGAAATAACAATACGAGAAAGTAAAAATGTAATCATTTGAAGCTAAAGGCCACAATCCTACGGCTTTAGACACTCTCCTGCTATAATCGAATATTTTGACACTCTCGTCCAGCTGTTTTTGATCAGAACTCAACTTTTCCATGTCTTCTTGGTTTGGAAACTTTATTATAAATGACGGAAATAAACTGGCGGTACCATCCAAGAAACATATTGAACGTTTGAATACTATACTTATAATTACTGCAATTTGGAAGTTCGTTTTTTCTAGGAAGTTTTGATAAGTTTTACCTATACACAGTTTTTAATTGTGGAGTATTCACGGGCTCACTGAGCACAAAGCGAACTGTACCTCACGGTTGTCATTCAAGATCTTAAAGACTATTTGATATAATGTCTACAGTACTTGGTTCAAGTACTCTAAATAATTTGTAATGAAATGACACTTTCATAAGACTCAAATTTGAAGTATAAATATTATTTTTGGAATTTTAATCAATGTGATTGTAGTGCGTTTTGTTTGAGAGTGAAAATGTGAGTATTGAATGATAAAAAAATTACTAATATACTCTTTAAGTATTAAAACATTAAAAAAGCTGTATAAATAATTTCCGTTCTTGTGCGTTTATTTCACAGCGGGTTATTAAATACCAAATGGAAGTTTTTTATCAGTCATTTTTTGTTGCTTCGTTATACAATGTTTCATATAATCTCAGTACTTTATTCTTTCCCAATGTAATCATTCATTGTAACTGATTTGTGTTACAATGACAGAATTTTGCATATTTTGTTATATATAAATAAAAAAAAAAAAAAAAAAAAAAAAAACACAAAATACTGCCATTTTTTTACATAAATTAACGTACGTATAGAAAATAGTTCTCATCGTTTTATTATGGATCTAAATCTAGAATTTTCTAATTATCGATATTAAACACAATGTGAATACATTGACAAGATTAAAATGCTGACAAGATGACAAGATTAATATTAAATTTAATACCTCCATGCGCATCATTTAATGAGCGGTATTCACTGTTTGGTAGTGCGAAGAATACCGTTTGGTATACATTGCACTACGAAATAGTGAATGGTCACTATTTCAGTTTCAGAGAATGAAAAGCCGTGCCTTGTAGAGGATCTTCGAAGACATGAATAAAATAATAATAAATAAATATATTATTATTATTATCAAATTCGTAAAAGGTCGGTTTTTGATCTACAGGCGATGAAAAACCGACTAAAAATTATGGAACGTTTTGGTCTGTTTTTGACCTTGATGCAATCAAAACCAGCTAAATGATTGTGACAAAAAAGTCTGATTTTGGTCTTGAAACAATATAAAACAATTTTATTGTAACATCAAAAATGATCTGAAACTGGTCTGAATTGGGAATAGTACGGGCAAAAACAGATTAAATTCTAATATAAAATAGATACACATAATAAAATTAAATAGAATGAAAAATATTAAAAATTTTCATTAATCGTAAAACAGATTAAATTTTTTGACCCGGGTTATAGAAAAAAAAAAAACATTTCTTCCTTTTTCTTTACAATTTCATATTTTATTATCACTTTTTATTTATTTATTTATTTATTTGTTTCTTTACATAAAGACCCAACAGCAATAGCCAATAACAGGGTAACTAGAGTATAAATTTAACGTCCTTTTACAATATCTTATTACATATTTATAAAAAACAAAAAAAGTAAAAACAATAATATTTTAATGTACAATGCGTTTCATTGATTCTTTACGGTCGGAAATTTTACAGAAAATGGAAACATCAAATTTTGGAAATCTGTGAGTAAGGAAATCAATAAATGAAAAATATGGAAAAATAAGATTTCAGAAATAATAAAAAAATAATGTGTCTTATTGAGGATACTTTGCAATATCGATTAGTTAAAAAATAGCAATGAAAAAATGTAGTAATCAAAATAATTAGAATTATTTTAAAAAAGATAAGCGTAAAATTATAAAATCAAAAAAAAAAGATTTCCGTGAAATTAGACGCATCAGAATATAAACATCTAAAATGACTGATATTTAAAAAAAAAAGAAAAGAATAAATTCAGACAAGTCGAAAAAAAGACAATTATAAATTTAAAAACATAAAAAAA